TAATACTAATCTAGACTCACTGAAACCCAATTATATAACCATTTAGAATGAAAACCAATTACATAACCATTTAGAATAAAATACATATAATGTTTCCGCCACATAAAATCAGATACATTAGTTAACTTGTAGTTAACTGTAGAATAAACCCGGCGGACATCTGCGAATTAAAAACTAAATTTATATTGTCTTGTCTTATTCTCAAATTACTGGACCACCTCGGACCGTAAAAGTATTCGATTATATAAATGAAATTTTCACTGTAAAAAGTACTTCAAATACGTCGTCATCTGAAATCATTTTATCTGATATAACTTACGAGCAAAATAGTGTTATGTGCAAAATAGCTCAATTGAAAGACAATACTTGATTTATATTAAATTATGCAATAAAAAGAGAGTTTTTACAATTCAACAACTCTTTTATGATTATTAGTAACACAAAAAGTATTTTCAAATCAAAAAAAAAAGTTCCAAAAAATTATAATTAAAACCAACAACACGATATAGATCATTTAGAAAAAGTTCAAAAAAGGGCGACAAAAATGGTCCTACCTTAAAAAAAAATGAAATATGAAAGCAGGCTTAAAGGTTTTAGCCTGGAATCATTAGAAAAAAAAATTCATGGAAACCTTATACAAATGTATTGAATAGTATATGGTTACGATCTCAAATCTCATTACAAAAACCAATAAATTTTATAACCAACAGAGTATTAGACGAAAAAAAAAGCAGAAATCACAACCACAGATTCTCAAGAGAATATACTCCAAAATGTAACGCAAGACATAACTTTTTCTTAAATCGTGTCTATAACAATTGGAAAAATTTTGATCATCAAACTGTTAATGTGAAGACGATAAACTCTTTTAAAAACAATATTGATAAAAATAATAGTAATATTTTTGTAGTAATATTTTTTGTGAACATTTATTTGATTTCTTAATTTATACTCTTGAACTTTTTTCAACGGCAAAAATGTTCAAAAAAAAAAGTTGCAAAACAAGGCAACATATATGAAGGAAAGCTACCCAGAGCAACGAATCTTACAAAAAGATTTCTTATTAGGAACCTTAGTAAGATTAGTAAGGCTTGCAAGATGTGCAAGAAAACTAATAAAATCTTATTAAGATTTGTAAGTTTACGTACGATTTCTAGTAAAATTTGTCAGAAATGTAAGATCTTAATAAGATTTGTAAATTATATCATAATTTCTTGGTAAGATTTGTAAGATCTTATTTAGTTATTCCGACCCTACTAAATTCTACTCATATTTTTGCGTAGAGGTAGAATATTCTATCGCAAAAATATGAGTGGAATTTAGTAGGGTAGGAATAACTACAAAATAATTTTACAAGATCATTTGAACGTATGGTCATTTAAGATTGTATGGAACAGTCTTGTAATTTGTAAAATAATAATAATTTGTAAAATAAAAAAAAGTAATTTGCTTTGTTATATATTAATGTATAACATATAATGTTGAGATGAACACTATTATTTTATTAGTTAATTTTTTCGAAAAGAAATTATGTGAAATCAATTGTTTTATTTATTAGCATATGCTAAAAACTTAAAGTTAGTTATTAGCATATGCTAATAACTAACTTTAGCTACTAAATTATTTTTCTGTTATTTACAAATAAAATAAAAATACAAATCTAAGTCAACTTAGATTACATTGATGCTCAGCAAGTGATAAAACGATACAATATAAAACTGCGCACAGTTCAATTGTTTAAATACTTCCATTTTATATCAAGTTCCATCTGATTGATCTCGTTTACAGCTGTGTCAACAAAGTATTTTCCAATGGCTTAATTAATTTTTCTACTACTACACATTATTGTTTGGGGTATCTTTCTTTTCTTTCACCAGAATAATTTATTTTTGCATCAACTTAGTAAAACTTTAAATTTTCTGCACCGAGATATTTTATGCAAAATTTGTATGATGACAATTCGTAACCAACAATAATGCATAAATCACCGCCCTCTTGAATCTATAATTTAAAAAAGAAATATGATTTTATTTATTTTTTTATTTAACTGTTATTAATAGCTACTCAAGACTAAGATTCTAATATTCAAGAGTCTAGACTCTAATGCATTACCTAGTGGAACTAATTATTAGTGGCTTGTTGCAGCCGCTTGTCACCATTTACTTCTACATATATATTTAATTAAATACACAATATTAATACATAAATTTAAAACTATAGACTAATATTTTTAATATATTTGATAACATTTAAAAATTTAGCTCAATAATTCTCAATAATAACTCAAAATTTAATAACAAATAAACTCAAATAATTAATAACAAACATTTTCAATATTAAAAAAATAATGTAATACAAAAAACATTATTTTAAAATTTAAAACATTTGATTTCCTTTTTGTTGATCGAGAAAAAAATTTTTTTTCCATATATAAAAAATATATAACATTTTCTCATAAACTAGTTAGGGGAGAGTCGTGTAGCCCCGGAGGAAAATATAGATTGTAAACATGTGCTAAGAGAAAACAAAGTGTCAAAAGACTTTTTTTTAAAGTTCAAACATTCATCTATCGAATTAGAAACAAAAAAATAATTGTTGTATATCTTAATAATATACAAAACATAAAAGAAAAATTGTTAGAAAAACGGCATGTTTCAAAATTGGAGGGTAGCCCCAGATACATAGTTTAAACATGATTTTACCTCTTTTTTACCAGTGTGACACAAATGTATATTAATATAATAATTTAGCATTGGATTGTTCTCAACACATTTTTAAAAAAATCGCCTTTTAAAATAGCTCAACAAGCGACATTGGTACGGAAGGAGGCTTGAACTACCCGTTAAATGCTCTCCCGCGGTGCTCTATGATAAGACCGTAAGGACTTCTGGGAGCACCTAAATACATACAAAGAAAAAGAAAAAAAAAAAAAAAAAAAAAAACTACTTTAATAAAAATTGATATAAAAGATATTATAAATATTTGATTTATATATTTAATCAATATAATTTAATTTAAGATTCCGAATCTGTAGATAATTTTTTTTTTTTGATGCACAGTTCGATTTAAACAGCACCCAAAAGAGAGAGAGAGAAAAAAGAAATATTCAATAAAAAAGATCTACAAAATGTGATTTTCCAAATATGTGTTTTTTAATTTTAGTAAATTTTTGGAAGAAATATGACGGAACTTAATTTTTGGGAAAAGGCTTTAATTTCTGGAAAATTCAAAAATATGCTTAAACTGGCAACGGTGCCAGAAACAAAGTTTATGAGACGGTTTTTTCATGAAAAGTTTTAGTTTTTATTTTTATAAAAAAAAACTATAGATTTTTTTTAATCACTTTGAATATTTAAAATTAATAAGAGAATTATTTATTTTATGACTTTAAGCAAATAGTTGAGCAGTAATTTTACTACAAAACGGTTGATTTTTACTCTATCTGCGGCTTTTAATATATACTACTAATAAATAAAATGCTGCAAGTCCTCGAAAACTTTGGACTTTGATTATATAATGAAAACCGTATTGTTTAAAATTAAATATATTAAAATATATTTTCAGATTAAAATATTTTCTATACAATTCTGGGCTAACTTATTTGACATATATTTAGACTTGATAAAATTTCACCTTTTAAGTTTTTAAAAAAATCTTTTAAAAAGCGAAATTTTCAACAATAAAACGTTAAACAATATGAAATTTTAAACAATGAAAAATAAGCGAAAGAAAAAACATTTAAACAAAACTATTATAACTTCCGAAAAAACTTAAAACGATGCTTAACAACAAATTTATAGACAAGTTTAAATAAATAATTTTTATGTTTGTTGTTAAAGCCGAAACAAAAAGCTTAACATTTTAAATATATAAGCTTTTTGTTGATTACAATGTATACACAAGTTGAAAATTTTAAATTATGCGCGTGTTTTTTTAAGTTTTGTATTTTAATTTACTTTGACTTTAGACTTAAAAGTAACCTAATTAATTCAAATCGAATTTAGTATTGTATATAGTATAGTATTAGTATTATAAATTTTATTAGATTTTTTTGAAACCGATTATTAGTTGTTAAATTATAACTGAATAAGTTATTAATAAATTATATTAAATTATTTCTTTTTTTCTTATATGAACACAAAAACTTTCTATTAGATTTAAGAAAATAAATTATTCTTAAAATTAAATTTAAACTTTTTTGATGAAATGAATGACGAATCAAACCCATTGCCGTTTTAGTTAGGCTCGAAGATTTTTATTTATTTTTTTTTTTTTTCAATTTAATTTTATTGTTTATTGGTCAAAAAATTAAAATTAAAATTTTATTTTAAAAATGACTCATAACTTTGTTACTGGAACCATATATATTAAGGGGAATATAGTATTTAGAAAAAAAAAATTTAAGTAATATTTTAGGGATTTTTTTGTTGTTGTTTTTGTTTAGATTTAGGGATTATAGATCTGAATCTATTTTTTAAGGATACCTTAAAAGTCCTGTATAAATCGAATTATGCGTCAAAATTTTTTTTGACGCATAATTCGATTTATACAGGACTAATTAATCACAACCACATAACTTTAAAAGTTGAACAAAATTAGAAATTTGCTCAAGATTCAAAATTATGTGGTTGTGGTCATAATTCAACTTGTATTTAATTGCTCGTAAGAATGCGTTTTTTGTATTGAATATAAAAAAAACCCTGATTTAACAGTTGTAAAAATTACAATAGTATATAGGTGCAGGTAAACAACTAGCGGCAGC